AAGACCATCTAGTTCCAACCCCCCTGCCATGGGCAGGGACACCTTCCACTAGACCAGGTTGCTCAAAGCCTCATCCAGCCTGGCCTTGAACACTTCCAGGGATGGGGTCATCCACAGCTTCTCTGGGCAACCTGTTCCAGTGCCTCACCACCCTCTCCAGGAAGAACTTCTTCCTGATATCCAATCTAAACCTCCCCACTTTCCATTTAAACCCATTACCCCTTGTGCTGCCGGTACTTTAAGGGTAATTTAAATAGAGGCTGTACGTTTGTATACAAGCAATTGTTTCTTTAGGCTTAAGACACCAGAACAGCTGTCATAATCCAGATGCAGGTAAGAACTTGGGTATTTAGTTTGGAGCATAACATTCATGAACGCTGGGGTAAGAGGCAGCCGTTGGGGAGCGGCTGTTTCGCTGCTGCCATTACTGTGTCCGGCAGTAACAAGCACATGCTCACAGGGGAGTTCAGGTCAGATGGAACTTCAGGTGGTCACCCCAGCCAACCTTTTAGTGGCCTTTCAGTCTAAGGTGGCAAAATGCGACCGCTGATGCATGGGCACCATGCTCAGGGCTGACCAGCTCCAGCAGCGACGAAGCAAGTGCTGTGGTGGCAGCCAGAGCAGACTGCGTCACCCCGCCAGTGCCCCGTGAATTGCTCCAGCCAATCGAGAGGCCCATCTTGCTTTTTCTCAGCTCACCATCTGGTCTTTCTTGCTGTTACGCCTCAGCACAACGTACCTGGCTTTGCCTTTAGGGCACTGTGTGTAGGGACAACGCAACAGAACTGGGGGGCTCCAGAACACCTGTGGAAGAAGAAAAACCCTTACAAGCGCTTGCTCTGCAGCAAGAGAAGCTTGACATTTGAACAGCTGCTTTGCTTTTTTTTTTTTTTTTGGCATAATTTGCAGCTAACTGTCCGGTTACGACCAAGCCCTCGCTATCCTTCGGGTTCGTAACGCCTTACCTGGTATCCTTTATGACTAACGCGGGTATGGTGGCAGGTAGCACAGCATAAGCCCTTCTGTAGGTTGTTCCAAATGAAAAACGTGTAGTTGTCCTCTTCTAACACGTTCCTAGAAAGGAGGCTCGGGTAACTACTTCCCACACGGTTTGAGCAGCACCCTCCTTGCCTGAGAAGCGTCGCTTCCACCCGGGCACACGTGGCCTGCTCATCTGTGTACGCACAGGAATTAGGGTTGAACGTGCCGTGAGAATACACTTCCCAGAGCCCTCAACACCCTGAGTGAATGCAAACCGCGGTTGGACTGCCGGAGATGGTGTAATACAGAGCAATGGCACCCTTAAAACATGTTAGAGAGCAGGCTCTTTCCATTAAGCATCTTTTTATTAGTCCAGAGAAAAATGCTGCTTCCAATTCCTCCATCAGAACTCAGGTGTTACAAAAACTTCCTAGATAACGCTTCCTTAAGGAGTAAAAAACACCTGAAAACATTTAGCCTTCAAGATTTGTTGCCCGACTGCCAGTTTCACAGCAACTTAAGGGCAGCCTCTTTCACGTTAAGGAAACGGCTAAGTAACACCCATTTAGGCAGTTTAACCTCTAGAAACGTTTTCCCAGGCTTTGGGAGTCATTCCAGTAGAACACCGCAGGATGAGATCGCTTTTGCCCTTCGTTGCTGACCTCTCTCGGACCCGATTTGTCTGGCGAGTCACATCCCATTAACTTGTTTCTCAGATTTCCAGTCAGGCAACTTATTTTTGCGGTTCAGTGGAGCACGTTCGTTCAGGATTCACGACCGGTCTGTGGTGTGGCAGGCAGTAACTGAACTCGGGACAAAGTCAACTGCTACAGAAGATGAAATTTCTCACCTTTGGCCCAATTTTACCAGCATATTTTAAACACATACTAGCAGTCACTGTTAGAAGGACACTATTCAACCACAGAATCTGACAGTGTTCACAGCAGTGTACCCGAAAAAACAAGGCCGTGACCTGTTAATAGCAGCCTGGTAGGTAGCAGCTGCAGGGCCTATCCACCCAGCTCCTGGTCACCTTTATCTCTGTGTAAGAGATCCTGGCACCGTAATACTTCATCTTAAAAACATGCACGGGCAGGGCTGATGTTTTTTCCACAGCTGGTCCAAAAATTGCTCAGTTGTTTTGAAAACACATCTACTTTAGGACACTTGGATATTTGAGACAGGACTTGCCTATAGCTTAAGTCCACCCCCCTCCTGCAGCAGGATGTACCGTTCACTGAATTCAACAGCTCAGTCCCACCTTTGTTTTCGAATGCTGCTGACATTAGCAAATGTTTCCTAAGACATCAAGAAAAAAACTCTCCATTTGAATATGAAAATGTATTTAACAATGCCCCCAACCCTCCCTTCCCAGAGCAATCCTTTACTCTTACCAGCTGCAGCGGGAAAGACAGACCAGAAACCTTATGGGAACAACAGGCAAGGCCAATCTCTCTCAAAAAATCATAAAACGAATTCCAGAACGGTTTGGGTTGGAAGAGACCTTAAAGACCATCTAGTTCCAACCCCCCTGCCATGGGCAGGGACACCTTCCACTAGACCAGGTTGCTCAAAGCCTCATCCAGCCTGGCCTTGAACCCTTCCAGGGATGGGGCATCCACAGCTTCTCGGGGCAACCTGTTCCAGTGCCTCACCACCTTCTCCAGGAAGAATTTCTTCCTGATACCCAATCTAAACCTCCCCACTTTCAATTTAAACCTATTACCCCTTGTCCTGTCACTACAGGCCCTTGTAAAAAGTCTCCCCCAGCTTCCTTGTAGCCCCTTCAGGTCCTGGAAGGCTGCAATAAGGTCTCCCCGGAGCCTTCTCTTCTCCAGGCTGAACAAGCCCAACTCTCTCAGCCTGTCCCCATAGCAGAGGTGCTCCAGCCCTCTGAGCATCTTCATGGCCTCCTCTGGACTCGCTCCAACTGGTCAATATCCTTCTGATGTTGAGGGCTCCACAGCTGGATGCAGCACTCCAGGTGGGGTCTCACCAGAGCAGAGTACAGGGGCGGAATCCCCTCCCTCGACCTGCTGGCCACACTTCTCTGGATACAGCCCAGGATACGGTTGGCTTTCTGGGCTGCCAGCACACACTGCCGGCTCATGTCCAGCTTTTCGTCCATCGGTACGCCAACTCCTCCTCAGGAGAAGCATCATGAAATACCTCGCAATGCGAAACCATCCATGGTGTAACTCTAGTCCTCATCTTAACAAGATGTGATAGCTCAAACACTTGTGAGCAGTACTGTCCCTGTAAACGCAGGTTTCACTGGGAACACTGACAGAACTGCAGTTTGAAGAAGGAAATAGGGAAAATTAACATGTTAAATCAAGTTTTAAAATCAGCGCTTGTAAAGTTATCCACAGAAATGCACCTGTACTAAAGGTATCATAGAGACAGCAGAGGTTGGAGCAGTCTATATTCACTGACATGTTTTTACAGGGAAATTTAAGAAGGAAAAGTGTCAATAGAGAAAGGATTTACTAAAAGCAGACTGTTAGTAGACATGCCAGTGAGCCCACTGGTAACACACAGTGGCCACAACTACCATGGGAAACCCGGGCTTAATGAAAGGTTAAAATTCAGTACCAATTTATCCAGAATATGCAAGAACAATCCAATTCCCATTAAACATTTTGAGGTCAGTACTTCAAGAAAATGCACCAGTGTTTAAAAAGAGTAAACGTGCCATTTGCCATATTCCATTGCACATCATTTTATTGCCCAATTTCAGGAGGGAGCAGCAGGTAGTTAAACATATGAAGGCAAACATGTGTACCCGAGGCTAATATAGCCATTTAGAATTGTAGCAACAACACATGAAACAGCTTAATTCTGCATCTCTCTCTATTTTTAAACAAAACCAGTTAGAATCAAGCTTTACACCTAAGGAATCAAGGCAGTAACGGTTGAACCAGTGACGCACGTTGAGCGCAGCAAGAGAACCGTTAGCGTTTCGGAAGGTTGATACAGAAAAACACATCTGCTCAGCACTCCCAACTCCAGAGCACAACGCTTTCAGTATTCCCCCCACTGGCTTGGTGAACGCTGACCACCAACCTGCCTGGCTCCCAGAAGCAGCAAAACACAGGCTGTCAGCCAGTATCAATTTAATGGCACTTTGGCCTGTAAAGCACTGGAAGTTTAACTGAAAAATCACCAAGGCTTTTATAATACATCCAGGAACGGGCTTTACCAATCTTCCTCACAACTTTTACTTACTACTCTCGGCAAAGCGGGATCAGTCACTCCTGCATCCAATACCTGTATCCTGTAAACTAGTGATCTTTCAACATGGAGTTAGTGCAAACCATCAGAAAAAGGGGGTGGAGAGCCGAGCTGGGATCCTGGGCCAAGAGACACAATCCGCCCATTAAACCTCAGTGGGTGCTTTGCTATGTTTTTGATGCCTGTGCCTCTCCCATCTTTGATAAAACCCCATACTCGAGATTCTTGCTCTCCTCTACCGTTTCAGAAAGGCCACAGGTGAGAAGGACCACCTGAGAGGGTAGTTGTGGCTTATGCAGAATATCTACTCTTCTAAAACTACCTGCCGCTTAATCACACTGCGGTAAACAGAAACATTTTTATTTGTAGGTGGTTAACAATGGCCAAACCCACTTAAAACAACCAACACAAAGCGGTTTTAGGAACAAAGATAAAAGAGCAGGATTAAAAAAGTCTTTAAGAACTGCCTCGAAGTCAGGCGGTTCGGCAGGTGTCCACCTTTGCTTGCGTCACCCGGGTTCCACAGCAAGAACGCTGATGTAAGCACCCACACAGTAAGAGGCGAGCATCCGATTCTTTGGGACACAAGGAGCAGCCGGCTTCCCTGTTGGTGCTGAGGTGCGACCCCGCCAAACTCGTCGTTCAGCGTGCCGACGGTAATTTAAATTCCAGTGCAGGCCAGGCACATAGGGAAGTAACCACAGCTGGGCAAACCCCAGAGCAAAGTAGTCTTCAAGCAATGTTTTCAGCTGGAGTTTCTCTTTGAAATAGCTTTCTCCAAGGTGCTACGCGAGACAAGAATCAAGGTGTTCGTTTATTTTGGATTCCAAAACCTCAGTCTGGCAAACAGGACAACTGACTTTTTTATCCTGCCTTACAGCAGCGCTGGAACTTGCTGAGGACACCGCAGAATCAGCTTCGGTTTTCGAGGGTGTATTTAAAGTGACATCAGTACCCCCCCTTTTAACAAAATAGTTTTCAAAGGCAGTTTTGTCTTCCATTCTGGGCCACCCCTGCAGGGCATCAGCACGCTCAGACACCACCGGAGCTGCTGCTGTCTGCTCCAAACCAACCCGCTGCCTGTCATAAAGCGGCGGAACCCTCTTGCCCTTTGCAGCGCTTTGGTTTGAGGTCTCTTCCACGACACGAGCAATTTTAACAGGCGATCCACTAACGTTCCTGTAAGCCTTTGTATTCGCAACGGAGGGTTTAGGAAACTCGCGCTTCGAAGCGAAGTTGATTTTCTGACCGGCATCATCAGTATGAAGCGTAAAAAAGATGCCACTGCGAGGCGATTTCTCAAATTTTATCTCATTTTTAGGGATTGGTCTCGTCTTTACTGCTGAATGGTGCTGTGACCCAGGTGTTTCACTGTTTCTAACACTGCTGCTGAAAGTTACGCTTTTTTCTGAGACTCCACCGTCTCCTCCCCCAAGCCGATAACCCTTTCCACTAAAAGGCAGCGCACTGAGCGTACTGGGAGTTTGTGCCTTGCCTGCACAGTAAGAAGAGAAGAAAATAAGAAGCGAGCAGCTTTTACATATATAAATCATGGGCTTCGTATTTTACAGGCACGGCCCAAAAGGATCTGCTGCTTTGGAACAGCGTAGCTAACTACACCTTTAGCCAACAGCTGAGAAGCAGCCTAGAAATGCACACATAAAACGGGTGCTGTTCTTCGCTAGGTAACAGCAGTATCTAAACAAAGGTCACACAGTGGTTGACCTGTGTTTGTTCAATGAACTGTTTACACAAAAAGTTTGGAAAAGGAAAAAAAAAAATTTACAATACCTTTGTTAGCTGACTTGGAATTTGAAAGTTTTGCTGGTTGATTTTTCTCCTTGGATTTCTTGGAGAAGTCCTCTGGCTCCTTCACTTTTGTGAACGTACCTCCACAGGTCTCTTGATGCTCAACCCACCAGTAGTCTCGTGCAGAGGGCGCTCTATTCATCGAACGTTTCACGTACCCGAAGTAGGGTTTTCTGTTTTGACAGGGGCCGTTGCATCGCCACCAGTGCTGGCGGTACAGATTCACCTCATCATGGAAAGTATGACAGATCTAGATTAAAGGAAAAAAAAAAAAAAGCAGTAATTCAGCAAGTTTCTAATTTTATATCACTAGCTCTACAGTATTTTTTAAAAAAATATATATTACCATTTCATTCTTTCTAACAGGTAATGTAAAAATCACAGCAGTAATGGAAGAGCTGAACGTGGGTAAAACTTGATCAGCATTTTGATACCATTAAAACAAAGATTTAGAAAAAACAAACCAAAACAGGATGTGTAGGAGTACGTCCTGTCTGTCTTGTTTGAAGTGCAATAAAATCACTTTGCAAATCTCGATGTACTGTTTAGAATGCACTGTAAGCAATGCCAGTATGGTATTCTCCCTCCAAGCTGTTATTTTAATTGATCTTATCAGACACATGATTTTTAACTATCATCAACCCATTAGCCTTTATGGATATAAATCTTACCTAAACCAGACTGCTCTTGCCCAAATATTACTCCGAACATGGAGCTATTCTGCCCCTGGTATCATTAAGTTGTTTCAAGTTTAAAACAAAAGTTTAAAGAAAAATACTTACGGAGGGCATACTTGAAAATTATACACCTAACAACCTGCCACATCTTCTTCAACCTCTTCCCACCGTCATCCCCAACAAAGTGACTATGGATCTGGCACACACTTGGACACAAATCTGTAGCAGTGCCAACTGTGGAGTGTCTAAGACGACTAAGGACATTACTCATACCAGGCCAGGCATACTGAAAAAGCAGATCAGGAAATAACGCTCCATTAACTGACATTAAGCGGCCGATCCTTACCGTGACATTGGCCCCAGTCAAGCGATTAATGCGATGCATGTGTTTGCGGAACTCCGGCCCATGAGAGTCACGATCTTTGTCGTTATTAGTAACAAAAAGCAGGGCATGGATCATTTCGTGCAGCAGTGTCTGAAATTATGCAAATCATTAGCTATTTACTGAAAAGCATTACACATTTCTTCAAAATTAAACTGGAAGTATTTTACTCCTTTACTTGGTACTGATCTCATTTTCATGCATTTGTGTGTTCGGGCTGGGTCATAAAAACGTAATACTTGTTCTACACTTGTCAGGTCAGATCACCTCTAGTCCCATACCCCAAAACATGCCTGAGAGTATTACTGCAGTGAGTGACACTCCATACTGGAAACACAACCCTCAAACTAAAGTCAGGTCTTTAAAGAGGTCATCCCCCCTACCATCAAAGAAAGAGACGCTTGCGAGGAGGCTCAAAGTCTACTGCCCGTCTGTTTATGAAGCAGACCTGAATGGGGAGCCAACTCAAACAAGCAGCCCTGAAAGAGGCACAAGAAGCAGCACAAAGTTAAGTTTACAGTCATTTTCGATATCCTTCTTTTCTGCTCTTGGCCTTTTGACCCAAAAGATAGGCCTTTTGACCTACAGCCACTTTTCCGATTGTGCTTTCAGTCCATGTTTGTTTTTAACATTAGAGGATAATTTAGAAGTCCAAAAAAAAGAGGGTTTTTTTCCCTTTACAAGGTCAGTAAAATAAACAAGTGACTTCTGACTCCTACTCAGTTGCCCATTTAGAAACATAAGCCAAAGATGACCGTGATGTCACCCAGCCAAGCAACACAAACGTAGCGATAAAGCCACCGCTCTTTTATGATCTACAAGTCACTGTACATAAGAATTCCACTAATGTAAAAACCTGTGTGTGGGATGGTGGGGGGGAGGCAGGCACAACACATTTTATGTACTGATTCATGAGCAATCTTCAAATACCTCAACAAGATCCTTCCTTGGTCTTAACTTTAGGAGCGGCTCACTTAGACGAATGGAACACATTCCACCTTTTCCTTCATACCTACATACTCCGGCACAGCTGAAAGAGGCACAGAAAGGAAATATGAAAAGCTACTTTTTTCTGTAGCACATAAAGAAAATTGAGAATTGGAGTTAAAATGAAGGCCCCTTCTAACACATACTAGGTAACTCAGAACGTGAAAAACTGCTTTTGTTACTTGTAGAAGTCAGTATTATTAAGCAAGAAAAAAAGCCACCCGCAAGTTCCTTAGAATATAAAACTACCAAAAGTGAAACTGTAATTCATTAGATCTCTTGCAATCACTTAAAGCTAGCAGTTAAAAAAAAAAATCACGATGGACTGCTCCAAGCTATTTAGGAGACAAAGGATTGTTTTCATTAGAACTCCTGATGGAATGAAACACATCAGGCTGGAGATTCCCAGCAGCCAACACTGACTTAACTGCTGGTTGCTGCAATTTCACCCCTCACCCTCCCTCCCGACTTACTGAACCTTTGCATGTCATCACTTATGCACAATAATGCAGCAGAAAGCACTTCGTTTGTTAATTGACTTTGTCTGCTACCAGTTCAGCATCCAAATAGTTTTAAATGTCTAAAGAGTCCTGCAACCAGTAAAGGACAAGAGGGGGCAGGACTCCAGAAGACAGCAACTGCATCAGCTGATCTGCAGAACTGCAGCAAGCACTTCAAAGCTCTTCTATTTTTAACCTTGGATCTCTTGTATATCCCCCTTCCTGGTCTAGTCAAGTCTTGTTAATATACTATAATAGTTTCATATCTGCCTTCCTGACATGCTGTAGAATACCATAAAAACAGAGAACAACAAAAACGACAGCAACACAAGGATGTTCTTTTAAGTTCCAACATGCAGACTTTAAGACCAAGTTATTTGTTCGACTTTAACATCTCTGCAGCTTTGCCTACACCACGGGAAAAGCCATTTATGGCTGCCAAAGGCGACAAATGAAGGGCAATAATGACAGTGACCAACTCGTCCTGGGGTACAAACTACATCAGAAAAGCAGGACATTCAAATACCTGGAAGAGTCGCTGTGGCACTACTACATCGTGCCTACGAAGCCAGAGTCAGAAGCAGCGTAGAGTGACAGGCGACAGCTCTTCCTCCCCCTCCCCAAACCCCACAGCCTTATGATGAGCCACTGCTTACGTGGTGCATCACGGGCTCTTCCCATGGCTCCGACGCAGCGCCGGCACGCTGCGGGGCCGGGCAGAGGCACGGGAGCTTCGGGAACGCGAGGCCGGTGGCCGCCCTCCC